CGACAGCCTACGGACTACCGAAGATACACAAGGAAGGAAATCCGCTAAGTCTAATAGTCAACAACAAGCATGGAGCAATATACAAACTTGCGAAATTCATTTGCTTGAAGCTCAAGAAAGTGAATAACAGATTCTCGAATACCGTCAAGAATTCATATGAATTTTCTCAAAGGATCCAGAATATTGGGTTAATGGTGTCGGAACTGTTGGTGAGTTTCGATGTACAATCCATGTACACAAACATCTCGGGTAAGAAGGCAGTATGCGCTTTGCTAGAGATACTGGAGCGAGAAGAGGACATCCTGGAGGCAGAACAGATATGGAAAAAATCGTTAACACGACTCATCAACCTGACAGTGAGGACCACATATTATATATTCAATGGCAGTATCGACGAGCAAATATTTGGACTACCGATGGGATCTCGACTCTCACCTCTTATGGCAAATGTGTACATGGACAATTTTCAAACGGAATTCAATAAGTCCCTACTGCAACCAAGAGTGCTTATGCGATACTTGGATTACAACTTGGCACTTTGGTCACATGGTAGGGAAAATTTAAATGAATTCCTCAATTTCATTAACGAACTTGATGAAAGAATTAAATTCACAATGGAGATAGAGAAGGATTAATGACTACCCTTTCTGGATATTGAAGTCATGCGCCTCAAAGGGACACTCATGAGAAGACCATACTGAAAGAATTCATATGCGGGAATAATCCTTGCTTTCAGTCTCATCATAAATACACACTTAAGATCGGAATACTGAGGAGTTTGATCATCAGAAGCATACGACTAATGTGGAGCTTATAAATGGCTGATTTCAACTTAGATTTCATGAAAATCAGATCAGGAATTTGGATGACAACCAAAAGTGGATTTGCCTGCTCTCATCATAACTGAGCAAACAATTGCGATCATTACTAAAGAAATTGAAAATGAACGTGATGACAAGGGAGACGAAAACACTTTTAGCCAGTCTGCCGACGCAACACTAGAAGACAGACAAACTTGATTGCTCGGGAGTTTATCGCATTAAATGTGGCAGCTGTGAGCAGAAGTATATCGGTGAAACAGGAAGAAAAATCGGCCTACGAATCAAGGAATATAAAAGACTCTGCATGAACATGGATACGAAAAGATCCAAAATAGCAAAATACATTGCACGAACAGCGAATGAAATCGACTAGAAATCGACCGAAAGGTTGGCTACATATCGTAAAAATACTTACCGAGAGAAATAAAATGAAAAGGATACTTGAGGAAGGCAGGATCAGCGAAAACATTGCATATTGCCTAAACAAACTCGGAGAAGACCAGTCAACAGTAATATCAGCAAAAAGAATACGAATGGATCAAGATAATATCCTTAATTTTAGGAAAATAGATCGCAGGAGTGTGAGAAAGAAACAATTAGGAGCAAAGAGGAGACGTCTTTAGTGAGATTAATCAAAACAAGTAGGACGACAATTGTGGGTCGGCACTCAAGAGACTAGGGCATGGGAAATCATAGACTTGGTATTTTAGAGAGAAATAGGAAGAACGGGGTGGAGACTAAAGCTATTTGGCTAACAAAAGACGTGCTTGATCATAGACGAGATCCTTGACTCACGACTATTCTTAGCTAACTAGCTTTAGTTTCCACTGCTGCTATCCTCTTTCCATCCCTAATAACAAGTCTATGACTTGCTAAGCCCTAGTCTCTTGTGAGCCAACCCACAAACGTTGTGGTTCAACATTGAACCTAATCAAAGCAAGCAGTACCACAACATTTCTTGTTTGGCACACAAGAGACTAGGGTATGAGAAGTCAAAGACTTGGTATTATAGATAGAAATAGGATAGACGGGGCGGAGACTGGAGCTGATTGGCTAACAATAGGTTATACAAGAGACGTGGTACATGTAGCAAAGGCGTGACTATGGGACTTACTCAGAGGCCTTAGCCTCGAGTAACACAGATGGGGTGGCAGAGGTCGAGTGAAATGCTTGAACCAGGGCTATAGCATATGGATTCTACGGGGCAAAATGGAGACTGTGATAAGAGCAAAAGGAAGCAGGACTGCGTAATAATATGGCAGACTCTGTTTAACATTCCCAGCACAAGGGTGAAGGGGGTTGAGAACGCCAT